AAACCCTTTGATCAGAAGAAGTGGGGTCCAAGCAAACGGATTCTAGTAAATGAATTAGCTCAATAACACAACTCGACTCGCCATCCCTTAACCCTCTACGAAACCCAAAGTCCCAGTTTAAAGATAAGGGGTTTAACGGGCTTGGGAGAAAAGTTGCAATTGGCTCATGTTTGTGAAGGGAAAGGGAATAGAGCGAGGGGAAACAATCTTTGTTAGTGTATTATTGGTACACGTAAATTTTAATAGCTCTAAACTTCATTAGTTTGGGTCTTGGGGGAAGTTTGATTGGTGGGTATATATCATTATAAAAGAAAAGGACAGCTAAATTTAAGAAGTACAAAGAGCTTTGGGCTACAAAGCATAGTTGTCAAAATGTTATGATTTATGATACAGTTCATGATTGAAAACATGGATCCCAAGCATTCTAATTTGAATCTTTTCCTACAAAAATCTTATGGTTGCTATTTGAATCATATAATTTAATGATGAATGTTACGATTTAATACAATGTGTAATCTGAACCAATTTTATTGAGATCCAGTTCTATACTTTGTCATTTATTTTTTTCATTTAATATTTAAGGGGCTTTTTGTTTGAGGACCTTTACTAGAATATGATTTATTTGTTTTTTTTTATCATCTTAAGCTTCTAGTGTACAAATGATAAACTTTATTTGGTCAAGTACAATAGGATAAAGTCACTTCTCTTTATATATTTAAGTTTCTTGTATATCTGTTTTTAATTTTTTTACAAGTTTATAAAAAAAGAAATAATCTTACAATTTACAATATGTTCATGGTTCGATTCAATTCAACATTCTCTACAATTTACAATTTTTAGAACAGTCCAAAGGGAAAAACGACTTTGGTGATCCTTCATCAGAGCAGTTTCTTTCTCTGCTATTTGGAGTATTCTGTTCCTTTTTTGTTTTTGTTTTTGCATTGTTGTTTCATAGTGATGAGAGAAACAATTTGGCATCAAAGGATATCTACATTCTTACTCTTTTACTTTCCTATGTAGCAATAAATCTATTTTATGTCATTCCATCCTTTATTTTGTTGAATGGAGCAGATTCTCATCTTAGATGAGGCCGATAGACTCTTGGATATGGGGTTCCAAAAGCAGATAAATTCCATTATATCTCGCTTACCAAAGCTTCGTAGAACTGGTCTTTTTTCAGCTACTCAAACTGAGGCTGTTGAAGAGCTTACAAAGGCAGGACTAAGAAATCCTGTGAGGGTTGAAGTTCGTACAGAAGCCAAAGTATTGGATGAGTTGGCATCCTCACAGCAACCAAGCTCTTCGAAAATGCCCTTGGGCCTTCATAATGAGGTGTGTAATATTGTATTTTATTGAATGTGCATTTCTGTACTCATGAATTTGGTCTTCTGAATCAGAGTATGCATTTTTGGGGCTTTTTTTGCATAAATTGATGGTTTCTTTAAGCCATTGTTTGCAAGGTCCTTTCTTAATAGATGATATCCTTACAGAGACTAGGCCTGTACTTGGATGTCTGAACCATCTTATGGAATGTAATCCTGTTGAACATATATGTTTCTTTTGGCAAAAGGAATTTTTTTCCTATTCAAAGGCAAAGGAATCTCAACTCTTATTGATAAACTTTGTTTAAGATGCAAAGGTTAAGCTATGGAAATAATTTTAATCATGATAAAGGGGCCAATGTGATTAGAAATTGCAAACACCCTTAGCATAATGAATGCCATTACCTAATGTTGGTCCTAGCTTTGGGAGGGGACCTTTGTCACTTTTTTGCACACAGTGGCCATTCTCAGACTCAAACCCACATTCTCACACTTATCAGCTTGAGAATTCAGGGTTATGGAGACATTATGTCCATCTATTAGTCATATCTGAATTCTTGAATCTTGACCATTTATGTAATTGAACTATTTCAGGTCCTGTTGTCTCTCATGACTTCATGCACTGGTTACATTATTGCATTTGTTTACTGTTCTCCATTTTGGAAATATTTTGTCTTTATGTTGACGAATTTCTCTTTCTAGCACATCTCATTTATTTGTTCTCTCTGTATTTCTTTTGTTACAAACTTGTAGTATTTGGAATGTGAAGCTGAGAAGAAGCCATCACAACTTGTTGATTTCTTAGCAAAAAACATGTCCAAAAAGATCATTGTGTAGGTTATCCATACATGGCTTTCTTTGATTTGGTTTTTTTAAGAAGTACTTTCTTTCTTTGATTTGTTAGTATTCAGATAATTGATCCTTGATCCCTATGTAGAGCAATGCATGATATTTATCTAGTTTATTGGTGCAACCATAATTTTATCTCTATTGCAGTTATTTCATGACATGTGCTTGTGTTGATTACTGGGGAGCTGTCCTTCCATGCCTTACTGTTCTTAAAGGTTGTCCTTTAGTTTCTCTTCATGGGAGGATGAAGCAGGTAAATCTAATAGTTGTCATTACATTTGGACACTAAGTGAAACAGTTTATGGAAGTGGTGGCTGTTGTTGCTGGTTTGCATGCACCTTCTGACTCTGATGTCATTCATGCTGTTCAATAGACTGCAAGGGAGAAAGCATTAACATCCTTTAGTGCCCTTTCAAAAGGAATTCTTCTATGTACCGATGTAGCGGCACGGGGGCTTGATATTCCAGGGGTTGATTGGATTGTGCAGGTATATTCTATTAAAATTGCCTAGTGGATGTGTGATGAGCTAGACAAGTGGCACCATGTATTATGCAAAGTATTTCTTACATGGAACATTTCAGCTGCTCAAATTAAGATCTTAATCAAACTGGCACTTATTGTCTTGTGACTTTAAGTTGGATTACTCTTGTGGGTTTTCCTCGAACCTAGCCCTGGTTTCTGCTTAATGAATACCTAATTAATATATGAACGAATGACCTATTGAATTTATTGATGATAAATAAATATAACAATTGAAAATATTACTATATATATACACTAATGTCTGTATACTACAAATTTAGTGCTTTTCCGAGTCCGGTAATGTACATGATGTGGTATGATTGTTGGTGGGTTGTTCCAGACAAGGTTCAACCCCTCTGAACCGGTTTTGAAAAAAATAAAAAATAAAACATAAAAAAAGCACCGACACAAGCCGATACGCCGAATCGATATTTAGAACCTTGGTTCCAGATGTGCAATGCCATATATAAATATATATGATAGTAAATATGATTTTGATATGGGTATACCTGGACTCTACCAATTGGAACCTGTTTTTGGAGCCCAACTGTACACTTCATAAACCTATCTCAATTGTATAGGATTGCCTAAGGTAGTACCATAAAAAGCACGCCTAGGTACATAAGTAAGGCTCATTCTAGGACATGTACCTTGCTTGGACCTAGGTCCATTCTCTTTGAAAAGGCGCACTTGCCTCAGCATAGGCACACAGCTTTTTAAAACAAGCCTTATTTGTTGCTTTTAGTAGATTCTTATCTTATGTCTTTTGCACCTTTGTAATGGATTATAAGCTTCTAAATTACTTTTTATTGCTATTTGTGCACTAGTAATGGTATATTAACTTAAAAAAAAAAAGACCTTTCAAATACTCAAATCCTTAGTTCTTTGCTAATAGAATCTCAAATGAAAAAATTTCTACTAAAGAAGCAAGAATAATACAACCAATGTCGGATCTATAATCTTAAAGTATAATTGATTGCGACTAAAGTCACGAAATCAACCCCTTTATATATGCCCACCAAAAATTTAGGCCAAAAACTGGCAGACTTGTTTGGGCACCTCAAGGTGCCTTTACAGAGGCAGAGGGTGGATCTCCTAAGATTAGGAATGCAAGTTGTTTAACATCACACTTGCTAATTGAAGTAATGCAATCAGGAGATAAATAAACATATTGAAAGTTGCATTTGCTTGAATTGCTGAGTGCCTGAAGCACTATAGTAGTTTAATAGTATAATCCATGTATGTTTGCTTTAGCTTCCACATTCACTTTGAATATTCTTATATGTTATGCTTACGTATTTTACTTTGAGCCAATACACTTTCTAAAACATTTAATTCCTTTTAAAATTCAGGATTGCATTTTATATGTATCATTTCTTTTTATTTTTTATTTCTAAAACTTTGTGCCTTTCTTTGAAAAGGTGTGCACCTTGCCTTACTCCTTACACCTCAGGCACTAGAAGGGCCTTCTGCTTTTCTACTTTTCTTATGTCTTGTGCTTTTAAAACACGAGGCTGAGCAAATCCTATTTTACCATAATACTTTAGTTAGAGCTGTATTATCTATTAAATTATGAGTTCTCACAATTTTTTACTACCTTGAGCTGTGCCCAATTTGACCTTTCTCTTCTAGGATATCAACTTGCATCAGGTCACTCCTTAAATTTGCATCCCTTTTTCTTGATTTTTTATATATGCTTGTTGCTGATGCTTTTCAACAATTCTAGTAGTTCATTAAGTGGAGTTCTGCCCTTTTCTTCAAATTACCCTTCTTTAGGATGTTAAATATAAAGCTCCATATGTTTGTTGGATTCTGGCTCTTGCTTGTTTGCTGTGCTTCCTGGTTTCTGGTTCTTGGGTCATCATCATCTACTGTTACTTAAAATATTTTCATGCATTAAATTTTCTCTATCATTCTTTCCTCTTTTTTTTTTTTGGATTTTGTAGAAAGCACCATACTGTGATTATGTTCAAGATGGGATACCTCAAGCTTTTTACTGTAGATTGACTAATTCACCTCTCCATTGCTTATGCAGTATGATCCCCCTCAAGATCCAAATGTTTTCATACACAGAGTTGGCCGAACTGCACGGATGGGCAAATCGGGAAGTGCCATTGTTTTACTATTGCCAAAGGTTTTGTGCCTTTATAACTCATTTTTTTGTCAAGTCAACCAGCTTCAACTCACATTTAACCTTTTCTCATTTCCCTTTTTTTGGTGCATAAGTGGGGATGAACCTTAAACCTCATGGTTGTAGTGCAGTAAACTAATCGCTCAAGGATGGGCGAAGGCCTCACCTGTTGTTAAATTATATATAGAGGTTTTATATTTGATATTGTGCTTAGTATGGTTATTTCAGTGTGTTAACACCAAGGGTGATTTCGTCATGTCAATTTCCTGCCTCAATCTTGTTAGGTCTTGTGGCTTCCGTTCACTTATGTATTGAACCTCTATACAGTGTTGTGCAAGTTATTGACTGCAGTAAGGCCATTTTTGTGCCTATATATTTTTATTTTGTCCCTTGTAACTAAGAGGTCTGAGATCATCAGTCCTGTTGACTGCAAGTCCTTGATGAATCCTTTCCTTGAAGTTTCTTTGATACTTTTGACTCTATATCAACTAATTTGCTATTTATCTCTTTAGGAGGAAGCTTATGTGGAGTTCCTGCGAATCAGAGGGGTCCCTCTTGCAGAGAGAAAATGTTCTGATGAGGCTCTTGACATTATTCCTCAGGCAAGCCTTTATCCTTAATAGTGATGATACTCTTCCTAGCCAGTTCTCTCTCTCTCTCTCTCTCTCTCTCGCCCATGCTTTTTGCATTGTACTGTAGAATTTTTTTCCCAAGTCTTTCTTTACTATTCTTTTTTCGCTCAATAATATTTGACATCGTCATGTTGGACCATAAATTATTTGGCTAATTATGGCTAATCCTTTCTTTTATGCAAGATTTTAATGTCATGTATGTCAGACCTCATATTTCAAGTTTTCTCAGGATTAGTATTCAATTGATTGTTTTTGGATGACCGTTGGATTTAACATCACCTTGGATTTATTGAACACCAACTGTTTCAGATAAGATCTGCAGCAAGAAAGGATCGTGATGTCATGGAAAAGGGAATCAAAGCATTTGTCTCATACATCCGTGCATACAAGGAACATCATTGCTCCTATATTTTTAGGTTACTTGCAGTTTCTCCTCTCAAATGCACCGGAAATCTTTCAGTTCCAACATGCTTATGCCGTTTTATTTTTCTTATAGGTGGAAAGACCTAGAGATTGGGAAGTTGGCCATGGGATATGGCTTGTTGCAGCTTCCTTCAATGTCTGAGGTGAAGCATCACTCACTCTCTGTTGATGGTTTTACTCCAGTTGATGATATCAATGTGGCAGAGATCAAGTACAAGTAAGCAAAATGTTTTTGATCTCTCTAATAGTTTCAGAGTAAATCTAAGGTGGTAGCTTACTAGAATACGGGGAGATACAGGGAGGTCTAGATGGTGGCACATTTGAGAAACCACCAGTTACTAGGTCTAACATGGGAGAAACAATCCCGAATGGATATGTTTCTTTCCCTCTGGTAGTTTTGTGCAAGTTTCTGAGCATGGGCCTGTGCTAATTGGCTAACAATTCCTACTATTTAGGGATAAGCTTCGTGAGAAACAAAGACAGAAGAACTTGAAGGCAAAGAAGACATTAGAGCATCAAGAGGAAAAACCCCAAAAGCCCAAATCAAATGTAAATGCTCCAGCTAAAGTTACGAGAAAGAAAACTGCTAGGCAGCGGCGGGCTGCCCAGACTGTTGAAGATGAGGAAGAGTTGGACCGGGATTACCGCTTACTGAAAAAACTGAAGAAAGGGGCTATTGATGAAAGTCAATTTGCAAAGCTTACAGGAACTGAAGAATTGCTTTGAAGGGCGTCGCTTACAAATTGTGTAGTAAACCCTATTCTGAGGACTCTGTAACACTGGAGGCAGGACGGGAGAACAAAAAAGCATATCAAAGAAATATAGACAGGAAACATGGCTTGAGGTAACAGTTTGGGAGAAGAGCGCGGCAGAGAAGTATAGATGGGCAAGCAAATTGTATATGGGCCTTTTCTATGCAGCGAAGAAAAGAAGAAAATGTTTTTTTCTTGTAAATTATTACTTGCACATTGAAGATTCATTTTGGAGCAAGATGTGAGAAAGAAAAGCATCTTTATTTAACAGTGTTCAACCGAAGAAATTAATGCCTGTCGTTTATTTGATGGTTCTTAAAAAGTTTGTTTTGTTCTACACAGATTGCTGCACAAGACACCGTATAGACAATTGTATATAGGCTGAGTTTAAGGTCAATCCAGGCCCATCCTTAAAGAATTGGGGCTCAAGGCCTGAGCCTAAGGTCAAGTCCTTCAACCCAAGTCCTGCCTAGCAGGTCTATAAGGTGCAATGTATTAAAAAATTGCAGAAACAAATCATCTGCGCCCAACAAATGCCCCACAGCCTATCCCAACCGAGGGGCAGATGTGACCTCTGCAGGAACCTAATTAATATCAATAATATAAACCTTTAAATAGGGACTATATGTATTGCAATATATATATATATATATATATATATAAATATTTGGTATATACGTATCTGTATTATGTGTGTATTCGGACAGGCCGGATGATTCTCGTGTTGGCCTCACGGCCTCACCCAAGTTGTACCCTAACCCTGATGAGTGTTCCTAGGTTTGTAGGAATGGAAGTGGAGGGCTAGTAGACATGTTGGCACACTGAGAATTGAGAATTTGGGATCCGAAATCCAACGTTCTTAGAGACTTGGAGCCGTTGGAGGCAATCCTTTTTCCAGAGGCAAATGGTCGTTTAAAAAGAAAATGAAATGTTCAAGCGTTCAATGGAAAGTCGAAGTCCAACGTGGAATCTGCTTATATTTGTTGTCACTACTCACTAGAACTAATACAAGTTTCAGGAAACATGGCATTGCAGAAAGCCTCTAAGAAAAGCGCTGAGATTAGTCTCAGAGGATCCTCCTTTCTCGATTGCTCTTTGACAACTTTCTTGGATTTCTCGTGCTCTTCTCCTCATCTCCTTAGTTTCACTTCCGTCGTGGTCCATGAACTTCCGAACGAGGTTGGCAATATCCTCTCTTTTCACCAGCGTATCTGCTCCCACGTTCTCCGTCACCCTCCATCCAATTTTCCAGTCGTCCGCAATTAATTTACTATCCGTGAACTGATCGAACAGTATGGGAAAAGTGAGCATAGGAACACCTGCAAACACAGCTTCCAAGGTCGAATTCCATCCGCAGTGCGTCCAAAACCCTCCCACAGAAGGATGGCACAAGACCCTCAATTGGTCACACCAGGGCACCACCAGCCCAGTCTCGCCACAAGTCTCCTGAAAACGTGAAGCGTCTTCGCGAGCAACCCATAGATACCGAACCCCACTATCGTGTAACCCCGCCGCGATCTCCTCCATCTGTTCGGAAGAGGTGGACAGAAAGCTGCCCATAGATACGTACAAGACACAGCTTCTGGGTTGAGAATCAAGCCATTTGAAGTAGTAGCAGTCGGCGTCGCTGAGTGTAGTAGTCGTGGAGGGCGAGTCTTTCACAAGCGTTGCGTAAGGAATGGAGGGGCCTACTGGGTAGACTGGAAATGGAAGTCTTGTCCTCAAGGTGTCTATGACATGGGTATCCATCTCGTAGAAAGAAGTGACCAGAAGACATTGTGCTTTAACCACCCAATTGAATGCTTCAATAACCCGATTTAGGAGTAGTCGACTGGCTTCTGAAAAGACATTAGGGATGTCCTTCAAGCGGATGGGAGATATGCCAGGTATGTAATCGATGCATTCGCCTCCCCTTTCTGGCACAGGAAAGATGCAGTTTAAACTTATAAATATATATATTAAAAGGGAAGGGATTTACAGTCTACGGTCATGCTGAGAAACCAATCAATTGAAGGCTTAAGAAACCTCACAAATATTAATCTAGCCTAAAACGTTCCAATCCAACAATTTCTGAAGGCAAGCTCAATTGTCATTCAAAGATCAAACTTTTGAGCTGCTTTTAAGCATGTAAGAGGTCTATAATGGAAAGATAAAGGATCTGTTGGAGGATTCCAACTAACCGCTAAATAAGTACTCTTCACCTTTTCAGATGAACCTAGGGACATGGGTAATCTTTCATTTCAGTTAATGGTGGAGAGGAAGAATATTGGCTTACTTTAGGCTATGTTTGGTTTGAAAAAAAATAAGGAAAGACAAGAGAACCTATACAAGATTTGTAAATATTTTCTTACCTTTCCAAGCAAGCAATAGAGGGAAGGCAGGAGGTGACCAAAGGGGTGACAAAGGATCAATCGCTAAAGACTTGATCAAACATGTTCTAATATTATCTCATAGAACCGTTCAACTTAAAGGCTAAGGGGCTGTTTACCCGCCAAAAGCTAATGCGTCCAAAAGACACTAGAAGCTCAGAATGCACGGATTTCGAGAAGCGATGGAAAAATGCATAAAAAGACATGTAGTTAAGGATGATAATTTTGTGTGAATTTTGGAGTATCCGATCCATCCTGGCCCTAATAGGCCCCCTTTATTAAGATATGTGATACTTGATACCGGGATGCATAACTATGAACATACACAAATTTATAAATTTTAAATACTAAGATAATTATTTTATTATTAATATTTTATTTGTATAAAATTTTTGGAATTAAAATCATCATTTAATTTTGGATTTGATAAATTATTTATTTCATTTAATTATGAAATACTAATTTTAAATATTATTTCTTTTAATTTTTAATTGAAATTGTTAATCATATACATGTGCTGATTATTTTGATGAACACAAAAAATTAATAAAATCTATTTTATTTATTAGATAACATAAAAGGAGAGATGACTTAAAGTAAGAAATTTGATGCTACTATTTTATTTCATTAAACAATACAAAAGGGGAAATAACTTATTATTAATTGATGCAAATATATAGAGTGCAAAAGGCGAGATGACACTTAATTGATCTGGGTTAAGTCACACTATAAAGGAATACAAATGCAAATATATAGAAACTTTATATTTTGTATGTATTTAAGCTGTATATATTTGCATTTGTACTCTTTCCAAACTAAGAGTTAGGTAACTTTTTTTTAATAGAAAACATTTGGTAAGGGATTTAACAGGTGGGACAATGCGTCTTTTTAAGTCTTTTGACTGTCGGTGCTAAGAGAAGAAATTTCTTAAAAAACTTGCCAAACGGCCTGTTGTTAGGCAAAATATGAGAAAAGTCGATGTTAGGCGAATTCCCTGAACTTTTTTTTTTTTTATTCTTTAACAAAGCAAGAATAAGAAAAGTCGACTTCAGTTTTTTAACACACAAGAGAAAAAAAAAAAGGTTTCAAAAGTGTTATATAGAAGTGTTATGGAGAGGACTAAAATACTTGTTTTATGCTGTTAATTTCTTTTTTTCTTTGGGATTATAGCTGACAAGGGCAGCTTTTGGTTCTAATTAGAATTATCAATAAAAGTAATATTTTTATATAATTTTTAAAATAAAATAATTAAAATATATATATATATATATATATATTTATAAAAAAGGATAAAAATACTATTCATCTCCTTTAACCCTTTTTTCTTGAAAATCAATCGTCCGAGACACGTGAAACACGATTAACGAAAGAGTTTTGTTTTCCAATAAATATCCCGCGTTTCTCGCTATTTATCCACACCTAACAAAAATAGGAAAATATTTTGAACGAGGGAAGTCTCGACCTTCGTCGAAGTGGTCTTCACTGGAATGTTCGGTGCTGCAACTGATTCGGTGGCCCCTACGACCCTACAGGAAAAGTAGTGTTGAGTCAACTGCTTATCTCTTGGTCACTACCATAGCCCTGCGGAAGCAGGGGAGAAAAAGGGAAGAAGAAGAAGAAGACGAACGAAGAAAAGAAGGGGAGGAAAAGAGGGGGGAAGAAGAAGGGGAAGGAGGAAAATAAGAGAAGGAGGCGGTGGGCTGAGCTGGTTTGATTTTGGTTCGTCGGCCGTGGAGAATAAGCGATGGGGATAAACAAAAGAAAGGAGGAAAATTAGCAGTGATCTCTTTACCCTTTATGATATTTTTTTATAAAAATTATGTAAAAAATATTATTTTTTTACTCTGCTGCTGCCTGTGACTTGTTGGAAGGACCAGAAGCCACCTGTGGCTTGTTGGCAGAAATCTTGTCGGAAAAATTGAAGTTGAGGGAGAAAGATCGAAGGAATTATTTTATTCTAAAAATAATGTAAAAAATATTATTTTTATACTCTGATGCTGCCTGTGACTTGTTGGAAGGACCAGAAGCCACCTGTGGCTTCTTGGCAGAAATCTTGTCGGAAAAACTGAAGTTGAGGGAGAGAGATCGAAGGAATTATTGTTCCTTAACAATCGCGTTCCATCTAAAGACCAAACAAACAAAAGGAAAAATAGGGAAACACTGTTCATTAACGTCTACACCTTTTTGTTGTTTAAGCATTTTCACCTCAAAAATCAAGATCGAGAGAGCGAACGATCAGTGAGAGAAATAGAGAGCGCACGGAGCTTGAGCCTGAACAGCGGCGGTAGAGAGAACGAGAGGGAAGAAGGGGTTTCGGCGGGAGACAGATGGAGCTTCGCAGAAGGAGGAGGGTGGGGGCTTTTTAGTTTATACTAATTTATCGGAAGTTTAAAGTTACGGAAGGTACCTGACAAATCGGCTGGGAAATGTCCGTTATGTGAAAGCAGATCAAAATGATAGAAGAGCGAGAATACGGAGGGCGACATGGTCCACAGCGATCCAACTGGAATGTTCCTCCTGTTGCCGATAGAGACAGCCCAAGGCAAGTAAGTATCGGCTACGATGGCAGTCGCCGACGGCTCGAGCTGGTCTAGCAGCTGCTCCACCGAAGCCCCCATCTTTGTATAAACAGCCTCAACGAATCCGGGGAAGTCGAGTGCACGGATGCGCTCCGACGGTATGACGTTCGGGATCGATCGGAACCGTATTTTAGCTTGCTCAGGCGACGAGCCTATGAAGTCGAGCCATTCTTCGGTGACGACTAAGGTGATGAGGATATCATCGCCTCTTGAAGCGATGAGCTTGCATAAGTTCATCATGGGGTTGACATGGCCTCTTCCTGGGTATGGGATTGCCACCAAATGGCAACCGGAGGTTTTTTGTGCTTTGACAGAATCCATGGCCTCCGACGATGACGAAACTGCTCTCTCTCTCTCTCGTCTTTTTTAAAGGGAGAATTCTCCAGCCCCCCTACTAGTAGTAGCCTAGTAGGGGAGGGGCGGCTGGAGAATTCTGCATCGTGTGTATCCGTATAGGTGCGATCGCTTTTAACGGTGGATGATCAGTCCACGACTCCCCAAAGTTCTCCCAGGCTGACCACCAAGGCACAGAACGCTAGTCTGGTCACGACTCACGAGGCACGAGTTCGGATCTGATCCCGACAAATCACTACACTAGTGACTAGACAACCATGTGCACCGATCACCGATGTGCAGACAACCGGGCCGTGCATCGACCCGATGTACGGTTTAAAGGATCAACCGGAGTTGAATCATGCTGACATAAAAATGAAATATATACGAATTATGAAATATACAAAATCATCAAATTCAACACAATTAATTATCATCATCCTTAAATCCTATTATTTAATTATTTGACCTATATTTACAAAATAAAAAATTGATTAATTGAGGTTTCAGGCTTTCATTCAGAACAAAATTCGGTAGAAAATTAGAAATCTATTTCCTTCAGTTTCAACAAAATTCATAAATAATTCATTAGAAAATTAGAAATTTATTTCTTTCGGTTTCAAACTTTCAAAGACCATAACGACTTTTGTGACTGAGTTTGGAAAAGTGAATAAGTATTGAATTTAAGCAAGCCTGTAAACTTTAAACAAAAGTGGTTAGTGGTTAATCAATACCTAAGTTTTTACTGAATTATTTCGGTAGTTAAAATTAAAAAAATCTCTCTCTCTCTCTATATATAATGGAATTGGTGCTTTCTCCATTCAAAAAATGGAATCTATTTGTGCAAATACATTTTGCATCTCACGTGCAAACATTTTATACGTGTAAAACAGAGCATCAATTTGACTTTCGACCAAGGGTTCACAAACGTTGGTTTTGAGTCCCCTGCTATTGTGAAGCCTTTCAAGTTCGGCGACCTTCGAGGGAGAACAGGAGAACGACGAGATCAACTATTGCAACCAAACTGTCCTCTTATTGCAACCACCGCGTTGGTTGAGCCGCCGAATATAGGAGGGCTTGGTCTCCTTCTCTGCAACTTCTAAAACCCCCTTCCCCTACCATCACCCCCAACCAAGGTTTAAAATTTCGATACGATATGCCCGATACAGGGCGTATCGTATCGTATCTTTGATGAAAAAGATATGACAAAAAAACTGGAAAAAAGATACTACAAAAAAACTGGAAAAAAAATACTACAAAAAAACTGGAAAAAAGATATGTATTGGGGCATATTGATAGCGTATTGATGAAAAAGATACGACAAAAAAACTGGAAAAAAAATGGGAAAAACAAGTTTCTTTTCCCTAAAATAAGTCTTCTTTCACCCCCAAATGACTCTAAAACTCCAAACCTCATTCTTACGGTGCTGGATTTGAAAAAATTTGCAAGAAACAAGTGTGAATTGTTCTTTTTTTTTCAGATTTTGAAAAAATATGGCAAAAATAAGTACGTTTTTTCAATTTTTATAATATCTTGTGATTTCTTTTTTCTTGAATGTTTAAATTTATGTTGATCTACATTTCTTACATTCAAAATCATAATGTTTTTGTGTTATTAATAAATTTATGGAAAATTGATGAAGATATTTTGGGAAAATATAAATTAATAAAAAATTTGAAAATGTAATTTTTCTCTGCCTATAAAGACTAAATATGAGATCTATGGATTTATCTATCATATCCATAGAATAATTGAATATTTTTAAAATTAAAAAATAAATAATGATTAATTATATTTTGTCATTTGATAACAACAATTGAATAATTATAATTCCATGGATGATCCATCATATTCATAGACCAATTGAAATTTCTTATTTAATAATTATTTTTATATTTTTTGAATTAAAAAAAAATAATTATATTTTATCATTTGATCACAATGATTGAATATATTATAATTCTATGGATGATATATCCATAAAGCAATTGAAATTTCTTCTTTAATAACTATTTTTTGAATATATTATCTAATGTTTATTTATTTTTTTTATAATTTTTGAAAATAAATAATAAATAATTATTGATTATATTTTAATTTAGAATTTTTACTAATTTATGTTTTATGGTTGGATAGGAGAGTTAGGTTTTTCTAAAACTTAAGAATTATAATTTATAAATTATAGTTAAGCGTAGGATTTTTAATAAAATTATAATTAACTACAATATATTTTTCATAAAACCATTAAAATATATTAATTTAATGTATATACACCTCATTGAGGTCTTATATTTAGTGTTATTAATGTATCTTTTATGATTTATTAAAGTATTTATAGTGTTTACAAACGTATCTATGAGTATTTTTTCCTATATGCATGCGTATGCAAAACGTTATCCCAATAAGTTTCTTAAAATTACCTTTTCGATGCACTTGCATTGCATTTTGGGATCTTTTGAACCTTCTTATGCGAACGGGTAATAACTACTGACCATTTTCTTGTCGCCAAAGTCGAGCTTATTCAAGTCTCTGAACTTAGTTGAAGTTGGCTTCTTCCGTCTGCCTAAATAGGGTAAGTTTGTCTATTTGCTAAACCAAAGAGACTGATGCCTGAAAATTTGGAGATTTATTTTGAATAGAGCTACTACCTCACCACCCTCCCTAATCTAATCGTTKGAGGTGAAACGAATGTTGCCGGAGATGCCAAACCAGTCAACATTGCAGAAGTCGGAGATTCATTATTCTCTTGCACTTTTTACGCTTCTTTTTGGGACTAGGGGCAAAAAGTACTGATTTGCTTTAGTATAGAGAAAACGAAGATGTTCCTACGGTTATTGTGGGAAGAGAACGAGAGGGAGAGGGAAGAGGGAGAGTTCAATGAGGCGGGGCAGTTCGCAATGGCGACGATGTGCTCACAGACTGAAACAGGGGAGGCGGAACTGATGGGGGAAGAAGAAGAAGAAGAAGAGAGAGGGAGGGAAAACCATCGACCGTCCTTGCTCCCAAACTGAAGGAAAGAAGAGAGAGAGACCACCACCACTACTAGAAGTCGTAGCAGCGATGATGTGCTCTCAGACTAAAACAGGGGGGGTAGGATTTTTTATTGAGGGGCCAAGACCTACACCTATGTTTGGAACTTAAATAAATTTAAAGAGAATTTGCATAGGGGGGCCATGGNGAGAGAGAGAAATCGTCCAGTGTCGTTGCTCTCCTAGAAGGCTGTATGCCCTCCTCTTTCCGAGGAGTGAAGGAAACTGAAAAGGAGCAGTGTCCGCCCCAATAAGGACCCCTTTTTCCCTTTGTGCTCATCATTTGTTACTTAAGGGCAAAACATATATTTCAGCCATTCCGTTAATATTTTAATGGTAATTTTCTAAAATAATAGGAATACTTTAAGACAATACTGAAACAATAGGGATATAAATTTTTTTTTTCTAAACCTTAGGAGTAGTTTAAGAAATTTTACTAAAGGTGTAAATACAAAAAAACACCAGTGTAAATGAAAAACGGTCAGATGGATAAATGCAAAAGTTGAACCAGTTCTGTGTTGTTTTTACACTGATGTACGTTTGGAAGAATAGTGTAAATGTGAGTGTATTTTATACAGGAATTAACATGGGTGTAAAACTACACCTATGTTTGGAAATGCAGCCGTTAACATTTATTATTTAGCTACACCCTATTAAACAACCTCCTGAGTTGTGATTTAAGATCTGCATCCTCTGAAGATTCCCCTGCAATTGAAACTACAAATTGATATACCTAAAAGCTGACTCATATCCAGAAATTGAAAGTAAAGCCTTACCCGGCCTTCCTTACCAGTTGCTTTACTGCTTTTCTCTCAATCTGGGGATTAAATCTTTAGACTTAAGGCATTTCTCCAACTCAATTTGAGCATGCTCCACTGGCTCTATCCTGTTTGTAAGATGATCCTGCTTTTGAACCTCCTTACTTTGAAGGTGAGAAGGTTCCATTTATATTCTTTCCCCAAATTCCTCTCTCCATTCAATCACATTTTCCTGTTTCTGTTTTTAGCCTTTTTTTGGTGCATAGTCTGGTTTAAATGAATCTCCACTGATGCCTCAAACTCTAGTTGGAGAAACATTTTTTTAGGTTTGATTCTGCCACCAATCTCCTTAAGAGAAAGTCTGCCTGTGCCAGTCATTGTGGGGCTATTGTGCACAGGTTGTGGCGCAGGTCTTAAATGCCATCATGTTTTTCCTTATCTGTGCTGACATTTCTGTTTTGGTGGTTTAACCACAGAAAGATAGTTATTTCTTTGCTGTTAATTTCTGTTATTAGTTATTTTTTAGAAAGCTGTTGTTACTTGTTTTCTTTGAATTTTATAAACTTTATCCAAAAGCTCATAAAAAAGTTAATTGTTCCCAGCAAACCTATGTATTCAAAGAGATGGTACTGTAGATAATGATTTGTGAAGCAAACCCCCCCCCCAGTACTCCAGGAAATATGGGGCGGTACCTGATTCTCTTTCATGGAAAGGAAAATCAACATGTTTCATTGGAATTTTCATTAGGTAAAACATTGGATCATGATGGAAGTACTACAGGAAATATGTGAAAACTTTTTTTAGTATAAACAAATGCAAGTACTACAAGACCCTAAATCCTGAACCCAAACTGCTAGTCACATGATGGAAGCATTGAATCATGAATTCGATCATAAAAAGTTCAAATGCCCATACCTAAACCCTAAATATTGCTTATTAATACCCTATTTCCTACTTGAAATGACAAGAAACAACTATAGTCTTGCCAATTCTGATGAGTTTTGATCTGCTCCTTACTTGCCTTTGCAGCTTATGCTTGCCATGTGTGTGGGACCAATGTGCTGGCCTCTTCTTGTCAAGAAACAACTATAACCCTTTCCTACTAGACTAACTGTTAGACAGGGAAATCTCTATGAAGTTCATATAGACTAGTTGGAGTCAAATCAGGTTCAGATCTTTATATATCATTAACAAATAAAACTTTAATTTAATCATCAAAACATACATTATATTTTATCAATAAAAAGAACTAAAAGGGACTTAGATTATTAACTGATAAATTAAATCAAAAATAATTTTCAATAAAAGTTGAACCTACAACCCTTCAATGAAAACACAAATCTTAAACCAAGTTTGCTATATAACCTCTTGAACCCAGAATTTAGTGTGAGGTGGATTCAAATGACACATGCATACACACTAAGGCTATGTTTAGTTTGACAGAAAACAGAAGAGAAACAGGAAGTTGGGATGAAGTTCTCAAGGGGTTTTGTGAAAGTTGTTAAAAGAACTTTTCTTTTGTTTTCTGTTTCCTATGCCTGCAATTTCAATTGAAAACTGATGATCAACAGAGGTCATAAATTTCAGAAAGTATAAAAACAAAGATCAAAATGACCATTTGGAGATTGCTATTATTTTTTATTTTTCTTTAGATGTGGAAGAAAAGTAACAGCCCAATTTTATATAACAGGTCTATGCAACTATAGAAACCTAATCAAGAGAAAGCATAACCATCTTTCTGAATATCCTATTGCAAGGAACTCAGGAATTGTGTGATAAAAGCTCCCTGTCTAGTTTGGAGTTGGCAAATTCAGGGTATAGTTTATAATTCCGTTTTGACCTTTAGCATTGTTTTGGATGTGGAGTTACTTCTTTTTGCTTCAATATTTTCTACATGACTACATGTCTTGTATTTTTGGGAAGATTTTCTCCTCATTCTTCTCATCTTGGATATATGCTCATTACTTAACAGGTATAACAAGGAGGAGGAGAACAACTGCAACATCAACAATAAAGTAGATGGATAAGGGAAGATAAAGTTCTATCATGAAATAGAAGATCAAGACTCAAACATAGCAATGGCGATCTCAATATTCTGATTTTAAATTGACTGCAGCCCAGAAATAAAAGCAACTGGATAAACACATTCATCCAAACAAGGAACTCTTTCTCAAACGTCCAACCAAGAGCCCAAAGCATACAAGTAAAGGATGCATCTACTAATATCCTTGAATTTGACATATTCTTTGGCAGGGGTTATAACATAAACTGAACATTTACTTTCTACATGAAAGAAATTCATGTGACATCAGTCTAAAACTTAGCATTAATCATACAACTGTGATAAGATCCCAAAAATATTCCAAACCACTGAATAAGTAACAATTGTACTGTATAGGTTTCAAAACAATAATAGCAGAGTAATATCGTATAGAAAGGTTAAATAAAAAAATAAAAAACGGGAAGGAGCTATGATACCATAAGTTGGGGAGACCAGAGAGATCTCTCAAAAAATGGTCCTAAAATGCATTGCAGGAAATGAGACTGTAAACATGTGGTAGAACATCATCGGCCCGGAGTTTTCAATCTTTCGATTGAAAAGGTTGTCTTACAAAAACGTAAAACTGGAAGAGAAAGAGAAAGAGAATAACTGAGTGCGTCCTCTGTTCTGAGATGAGTTCGAACCTGTGAGATAAAGAAAATACACAGTGAGAAAAGAAGAGAAAGAGAAAAGGATGACCAGACGGTGGTTGAGGGTGCTAGTCGGCAGTGCTCGACTGTGAGAGAGAGAGGATCAAACAGTGGTGGAGGGTGCTAGCCGGCGGTGATCGACTGTGAGAGAGAGAAGATCAAAAGAGACGAAGAGCCGTTGTGTTTTTACACTGTCATTGCTTTGATCGAATTTTACATCGAAAAAATATCGAAGTAAATAAATCTCGAAATTGATTTTTACACCGATCTTCCGTGTATTTTTACACCCCATCCAAACGGCCACAAAACTGGACCAGAGTGTAAAAATACACCGAACCGGGTTTTACACTCCATCCAAACGCAGCCTAAAACGAATTGGTCGAGAGCGGTCGAATGTTCCACAATCGGTGCGTAGCAAGAGGATTCGTTGCTCTGCTTGCTCGTTGACCCTTGAGTAACTGGCGTGGATCACTCGTTGATGTGGGCTCATCTATTGATGGCAGTTCTGTAATCTGTAATTACCACTTATTCACTTCACTTCAATGCTCACCCGCCATTCACTCGTTGATGTGGGATCACTCGTTGACCCTTGTCACGTTGTTGACTTCTGAGACAAGACCTCGTTAAATCGAGCACATGAGCCTTCTCCTTGAATTCATCAAGAAGAACATGGTCGATCGTCTTCTTAAGTTCTTCTGTTTATCCGGAATAGATCTTGTTCGTCAATGGAGCCTCCCTTCGATCTTTCAAAACCCTCTGCACCCGTCTCCTTCCCCATTAAAAGTCTCGACGATCTCGAGTCGAAATCGTATTTTGACTCCTTTCACTACCCTTTCAATAAGGCCTCTGTTCCTCTTCCTGCTGATGCTTCGTCATTGCCTGATCGTGCGAGGATTCTTGTCTGCCATGATATGCAGGGAGGTTACCGAGATGATAAGTGGATTCAGGGAGGAAATAACCCTGATGCTTATGCCATCTGGCATTGGCATTTGATGGATGTATTTGTTTATTTCTCTCATAATCTCGTCACCATTCCTCCTCCGTGCTGGACAAACACTGCGCATACCCACGGCGTTAAGGTAGTTGACTTTTTGGTCAACCAAAGGACCTCCCCCCCCCCCGCTCTTCTGTTTCTATAATTCCTTGTTTTTTTCTTCCTTTTGGGTTCTGGGTTTGGTATTTGATCCAATGAACAAATTGAACTTGGTATAGGATTTTATGATAACCGAGAAAACACTGAAAAGAAAAGATAATTCCTTAAGTTGAATTGGGTTCCTTTTGACTCAAAAATTGATATTGGTCGAGATTGGGCAATTTGCAAGTAAATGTGGAAACTGAATAGGTACAGATGATTTTACCAAAAAAAAAAAAAAGAATAGCTACAGATGACGAATGGGTTATATTTTTTTTCGCACTAGAGTGTTGGTTTCTGTTAGGCGATGGAAGTAGGCCTTTTTTTTATATTTATATATGTACCAGGGGTGCGCATACTTGAATTAGTGATTGGTCAGAGCTTCTCTGAACTTTGGTTTTCTTGATTCTGCATTGGTAAGAGCTTGTTGGGATGATTATTCAAAAAAATGATATAAGCTGGCTATGTTGAACGATAGGTATGGAACTGTGGATGATTGAAAAAACTACTTATTTATGGTAGGAACACCCTATATTCATTACTAAAAAAGGGAAACTAAATTACTTCTGCACTTCATATATTACTTGCAGAGCTAGAATGGTTTTCTTACTCCATCTATCAAAGTAATCAATGATGTTGTGCAAACTGTAAACAATGTGGCTCGATGAACTAAATATGCTAATGTACATTCTCAGTGTAGGTGTAGGTTTGGCCATTGATTAATAAATTCTGTTGGACATGTTTGTAATTGTATAGGTTTCCCTACCTTTTCTTTCAAACCAAACACAACGTAAGGAGTCATTTATTAGCCTCTTATAATGTCCGCTTACCTTCATGATAAGCATACAGAGTTGTAAACTTTCCATGTAGGAACCTCTCAGAGGACCCGACTCCATTCAAATTTTTGCCCAAGTTGCAGCCTTAAAAATAGCTAGCTTGTTTTACTGTTCAGTGATTTGATGAGTGGGCAACAGTTTGAGAGACGATGTTAATGTCATATCTCCTCTCTTTGGTTATACAATGAACCACAAAATGTAGTTGATCTATTTCTCTTCTATGCTCACCAACTACATATTTGGTTTTGACTTAGTGAAGGAGGTTGCTTCTTTCAGTTGGCTCTTTTGAGATGTGTACATAACTACATATCTAATATTTTTTTCACCCATTTGGTGGTTAACATTGATTTTCTTCAAGTAAAGTGATGAAGTTTGCATTTTTTTTGTTCTTTTCTTTTTCCTGATTTCATAGTTCATTTTGAAAGTTGAGGTTTACTTCAGCATTTAATTTTTCTGTTAATGTTTTGTGGCATCTTGCTTACATACAAATTAAGGTGCTGGGAACTTTCATTATGGAGTGGGATGAAGGAAGAATTGCTGCTAATAAGTTGCTATCAACAGAGAAATCTGCTAGAATGTATGCTGATCGCTTGACAGAGCTTGCCGTCAAGTTGGAATTTGATGGTTGGCTGGTAACAGGCTTTATGTTCCATTCTTTTGTTATGTTTCTTATCTAATCTTTTAGATGAAGTTTTCCCCCTTTCTTCTGTTATACTTGATAATTCCATTATGAAAGTCTAATTTGAATTTCTGATGCATTCTTGTGAATTATTAAATCTTTTATTGAGAAACTGGAATCATAGTTGTCAAGGCATCACCTAGGCGACTAGGCACCCTTGGCTGGGCGCCTCGCCCAAACGCCTTGACTTTTAGCAACTAGGAGCCCTTCTTGGCGACTAGGTGCCCGCCTAGGTGACTAAGCGCCTGCCTAGGCAACAAAAATGACAAGGCAGGCGCCTTTTATAGTATCATTTATATTGTTGTATCTTATTAATGTATGTGTTAATACATTTTATTATGTGCTATATATATCAATTATACTTTGTTTTAATGTTTTACTATTGAAATTTAAAAGATCAAAGGGTTTTGAGGAGAGAAAAAGAAAGAAAGAAAGAAAGAAAAGAAAG